TTCAAGGTCTGCCTCACCTCTTGCCATGTGACTGCTTACTTGTGTGTCTTGTCTCTGTTTTGTTTTTTTAACCTTTCTGTCTCCTCATTTGTGACCCTACATCTGTCGTGTCTTTCATTGTGTTGTCCGTGTCCCAATTCTCTCAAGTTAATCTATTTTAGTCCTGGTCTCAGTGTAAGTCACCTCCTGTTTTGTTTTGATAGTTTCTAGTTTTATGTGTGTTGTGTTCGGTTTTGCTTCTTGTCTAGTTATTCAAATTCTATTCAGCTGTGTTCCCTGGTGTTTCTCCTCTCCCTATAATTACCTGGTCTGTATACATTGTCCTTTCTTCTTTGCTGTGTTCACCTTTAAGCTGTGTGTTCCACCTTGGGGGTTTGCTGTATGATAGTTTTCATTTAGATAATTTGCACTTGGCTCATATTTTCTTATTTTTACAAGTTTTCAACAATAAAGCGGTTTTTGAGTTTTAAGTCCTGTTTTCCGAGTCCTGCTTTTGGGTGATGCTCTCCATGACACGCACTCCCCTTGACAAACTGATTTCTTTTAGCTGGAGGAAGTGTAAAGCTGCTTAAAGAACTAAAATCACTCCATTTATGAGTAATTATAAAGTATCCCTGGAATTTTACAGTATTGGGAGTTTTTCAGTCAGAAGCCCCACAAGGTTTGTGAGTCATGTCTTAACATGTTTAAGAAAATATTAACTGTAGGCCCATAAATAACATAAATGACTTCAGTACAATACCTAATAGTTGCATTTGAAATTAAAATAACGAAATTGTTCAAATGTTTTTAGCTTTACTTACTCGATGTAATGTGTTTATTTTTTAATTAAATATGCTTCTTAATAAAAAAACACATCAACAGTATGGAAAAACAGATGCAACAATACATTGTCTGATGTTCAACCCAGATCATTGTTTACTTACAACCTTAGAAAAACATATTAATGTAAAGCAGCTAAATCTGTTTGCTCACCTACTGAAGTTGCTTGAATACATGAGGTTTGATTATACACACAATCATTGTGAGATTATATAGTGTCAAGTTAGTGGGATGTAATCCAGATATTTCTTTAATATGATAATATAAATCTGTCACTCAGCTGTCAAATGAGAGCTTCATGACTGATTTAGTTTGAATGCCTCTCTTCATATCAGTCAGTGCTTAAGAGCAAAACACAAAAAAACTTAAATGATCTGATTATTTTTCAGACCTGACGGACCTAAACTTATAGATCTTCAGCTCCCACCTCGAGCAGAACTTCAACAGGGAGGTTGTTTTTTTTCATTAGACCCTGTGTTTCATGAACTTTGACCACATACACTTACACACACGCAGGATACACTTCACCACAAACTTTAAATGTCTATAATCCTGAAAAAGGATCAAACTGGGTAAAGTATGAGTCATTCTCACCTGCTGGCCCCAGAAGAGTTACTTTCTGGCCACTGCATGAAAACTACTTCAAAGTTGTGTTTAAGTTTCATTTCCATACACAGTCTTGACCTCAGCAGTGTTTTCTGACTAATCAGCTCTTTATGCTCCAGTGGCCATTAAGCGACTGATATAAACGTGGAGCGTTGCTTACCTGATCACACTCTTACTCCTCCTGCCACCCCTTCATTCCACATTGGATGTGGAATGGTAAATGGTAAATGGACTGGTTCTTATATAGCGCTTTTCTACTCTCCCGGGGTACTCAAAGCGCTGTATACAACATGCAATGTTGTGATCCTCAGGTGTCACAACAGGTGTTGATTGTATCTCCAGTGTTTGATCCTTCCAGGAATTTCCTCTCCTCTGCCACATGGTGGAGTCAGTGTAATGTAACACAAGGACCTGTGGAGACAAGCAACCCCAGTCATCTCAAAAACTATTCAGCAATCAATTATAAGTCATTAAATATTAGACAGTCTGAAATGATACAAAGTGAGATTGATGCTGGTAATGTAGTTTTTATTGAAACAATTTTCTATGAGATATGACATTCAGTGTCTTTGTTTTTATAACTTTTACCTATTAGAAGTTCACAGTTTGTCCTGCTGTTCCCTCCTTTCTCTTAGTTGTAGTAGTAGTATAACATTTGCAGTAAAAATGTTGATGCCTATAGCTCACATATGCTGGTCCAAGTCAGTTGATGAGTTTGTAGCCTTGTAGGTTTTTGTTGTGGTTTCTTTTCACTCTAAGCAAATTTCTGCAGAGTCAAAATTCATGACTACAAACAAGGATGTTCATTCTGCCTATATGTGTCTAGGTTGGGAGCAACAACAAAAGAAAACAGGAATAAGGTGCCATGTTCTGGCCTACTGAAAATGGAAGATTTACATTCATTTTACAACTATTGCTAGCCTGCACTGACTATTTGTGTATTTTGCACATATGTCATTTTTAGTGGCCATTTCCTTCGTTCCCGGGTTTCAAAAATGCTGGTTTTGATTTTCGCTCTCATGGCTCATGAACTGACACCACTAACCAGCCAATCGGTGGGATGCAGTCTGATGACTTCACATTTTGGTACATGGTCAGATCACTTGCAACCCCGGCCGAGCAGGTACTATGTTAGTAGCTGGTGCCAGGTGCTATGATGTAATGAAAATCCCTGAAAACCGTGGCAAGTCAGAATGAGTGGGTAATAATGGAAAAGGGGCTAATTCATTTCCACGACCTGCATACTATTGCCACATGAGGCCTAGCATCGTTGTGCTCTAGCAGGAACCCATGACCCACTGCATCAGTGTAGGGTCTGATAATGTGTCCAAGGAGTTCATCCCAATACCTAATGGCAGTCAGGGTTGCTGTTGTGAAGGTTGCTACAAAGGTCCATGCCTCCCTCCATGGATATGCCCATCACCAAACCACTCATGGCGAATGATGTTACAGGCAGTATGTTGTTCTCTTAAGCTTCTCAAAACCCGTCGTCACAGCGTGAACCTCCATTCATTTGTGAAAAGCTGTTTAAATTAAACAGTTAACATCCATCCATTCGCTTCCACTTATCCTTTTTCAGTGTCGCAGCGCTGGAGCCTATCCCAGCTTTCATAGGGCGAGAGGTGGGGTATACCCTGGACAAGTCGCCAGTCTGTCACAGGGCTAACACACAGAGACAGACAACCATTCGCACTCACATTTACAGTTATGGGCAATTTGGATTAATCAATTAACCTACCCTCACAAACTGCATGTCTTTGGACGGTGGGAGGAAGCCGGAGTACCCAGAGGGAACCCACACAAACACAGGGAGAACATGCAAACTCCACACAGAAAGACCCCAGCCTGATGGTGGAATTGAACTCAGGACCTTCCTGCTGTGCAGCAACAGTCCTAACCACCGTGCTGCCCTAAACAGTTAATATTTAATAATCAAATTAATGACTAAAAAGGCACTGATCTAATTAATATCAAACTTAATACAACCAAAAACAAATAAGTACATAATAAACAGTCAAACAAAATTTAAAACACTTGATACTTGCAGTGGTTGGCAAAGTTTCCTTTTATCCAGACCTGATAGTAGAGGGCTTTCAAAACAGTCTCTGACGGTATCTGAGGAACTGGAACAGGTTTTGGATTCAATGTGCTGGAGGACTTGCATGTTGTTCTTCAGATGCTCGGTGTAGATTAGCGTTCTTTCCTTGCAGTATGAAAGCAAATACAAAGCACAATAAACCAAACTGCCCATTTCAAAAGCAAATATACAATCTTACATCTAATAGAGCTGACACAATTAATTGTATAATGAGTTACAATTGTGATGCATTGCAATGCGGAAAAAAAGCATTCTTAATCCATTCAGAAGAAACTAATCGATTATTAAATACAGTCAAATCATCTTTTGCATGGTTGGATCTTAACAAGGTTCCAACAACATGCAACAAGCAGAACTGGGAGTGAGACAAAACATTTAACTAACATTTAACAAACTTAAACTGGGACAGGCTGTTTTACAGCTGATCAAATGTTTAGGACCACATGCTTTTAAAAGGCCAAATCTGTGCAAAACTGTGGATTCATTGTCATTTTCTGTCAGGTAGTCAGACTGTCAGGATGTTCTGATGGCAAAAGCAAAAAAACGTTCCTTTTTGAACATGGTCGGCTTGTTGAACTGCATAAGTAGGGTTGCTCACAGCGCACCATCGCTGCTGAGGTGGGATGCAGTTAAGACGGTCATTTCTGCAATCAGTGGTCTCCAACCTTTTTTGCGCCACGGACCGGTTTATGCCCGACAATATCTTCACGGACCAGCCTTTAAGGTGTCGCAGATAAATACAACAAAATAAAACTAGTACCGGTACCGAAAAAAAAGAAGATTTATTCATAACACACGTGAAAAGACCCAGGAAAACCGAGTTAACGATAAAAACGATAACAAAATAACGCTGAAAACCGATAAAATCCCTGTAAACTATACATTTCACACCTGAGCCTCAACTCTCGCGGCCCGGTACCAAACGAGGGTTGGGATCGCTGTCTTAAATAATCCTGGGGGTTATGGAACAAAAACGTGAAGTGGAAGACCTAAAAAATCCTCAACCCAAATTAAGGCCATTACTGGTGCCGATTGCACCAATGTGAGTGAAGTTGGCCCCCCCACGTTCTTCAAATCCAACAAAAGTGGTATCAAACGTTTGTGCTGGTTTGTGCTGCTAAAATTGTCGTTTGTGCTGCTTCTGTTTTAAAGATATTAATGAAAATGCAAAGGTCAAAAGGTCAACCAGCCCCCCCACATTACCCAAATCAAACAAAATTGATGTTAAACGTTTGTGCTACATTTGTGCTGGTTTGTGCTTCAAAAATTTTAAAAATATTAATAAAATAACGTCTTGATGCGTGCTTAATCATCCAGGTAAGTAAATCCCAAAAGGTTGATTCTGTTCATCTGGACATTTTCAATGGGAGAAACGTTTC